ATCCCAGAGAGGATTGACTTCAAGATCCTCACTCTTGTCTTCAAATCCCTCCACTCTTCTGCACCACCCTCTCTCCTCACAACAGTGCCCGTTGCCTTCACTCCACCGGGTCTGGCCTCCTCTTTGTCCCCCGAATCCTCCGCTCCACCATCGGCAGCCGTCCTTTCAGCCACTACGCCCCGAGGCTCTGGAACTCCCTTCCTCACTCCCTTCGCCTCTCCCCCTCTCTTCCTATTTTCCAGTCTCGGCTAAAAACCTTTCTTTTCGACCGCGTCTTTGGTCACCTTCTTCCCCCTCCCTCTGGCTCGGCCCCAGGATCCATTATTGTGAAGCACTCTGAGATGCCGTCCGGTGTGGAGGGCGCTATCTAAATCCAAGTTGTTGTTATTGTTGTTGTAGCAATAGCAAAATGTATAATTTCTGCTTCGGTTTGTTGGAAACAGAAACTTCCCTCAAAGAAAGCCATTATGCTATACAGAGTTGAGGCAGGTCGATTCCAATCAATGTTGCATAATCATGGAACTTGTTTTAATGAAAGAAATCCACACTTTTTAAAGTAACATTTTCAATTCAGGATTTTTAATTTAGTTTTACATTTTTTTTAAATGCTTCAGTTTGCAAAGGATTTGTTTTTCTCCTTGCAAACATTTTTCCGACTAATTGTGTCCTGCCCCTTATACCAGTTCTTTCCTTTTTTTTATGGAATTAGGCAGTGGAAACAAGGTCACAGAAGAAAAAACAAGGGAAAGTGTTGAGCTGTTTTTAAAGTTAAGAAAGAATAGGTTAGGTTGAATTAGAACAAAAATACAAGTTATCCTTCATAGCAAATCTTTTGATTGGAAATAGGATTGCAGTTTTCATTTTAGCATTTACTGTCCTTATAATTGATTTGTGTAACATTTAAATGTTACTGCTGATAAGCCAAACAGCTTATGCTTACTGACTCTACAATGGCTTGTGTACAATTTTGATTCTCCTGCTCTCCTGGCCTTGCAAATCTTTTCCTCTTTCCCCTTCGCACCCTTTCCCCTCATGCCTGCTTTTTCCAGTAAAGCAGCAAAGTGCTACCATGAGAGAGATGCGATTTGCTTCACATTACATCTGTCAAAGTGCTGTGTGATTCGACAGCTGCTGAGAAAAAGCAAATTCTAAATGGATGCTGTTTCTCAGTGTTCGGATGTATTGTCACAAATCAATCAGTTCTCAGAGAGGATCTTTGGTAAAAATGTACAAGAATTGTACTGTTTCTCAGTCATTCGGGAATATCTGAATATCGACCAATTTGGATCACTTATGTAATCCCACTTGATCTATTATGTAATGGATGAGGGGAGGAACAGAACCCTCTTTGCACACAGCCACATTGTCCATTAATAACATCCAACTCTCAAAAGTGCCAAGCAAGTGATTGATCTCTCTGGCTGGAGCCACATCAAGAGAGTTAAGTACCCTTCACAAAATTATACAATGCATCAAACAAAAATGTGTTTGAGTCAGGCATTACATGAAATCCTCATTGGTCTAAATCCTGTCAGAGTTGAAGTGGATACATATTTTATTCTGGGATATTGTAGTAAAGAAATGCATCCTTGTTAACTGGATCTTTTACGTATTTGCAAATACCTGAGTATTACTCGCTTTAAAATCCACTTCTCTCTCCTCCCTCCTCGATTCCCTCAACTGATTTCAGTCACCAACACAAATAGGACAGAATACAACATGAATTGGGCAGTCAACCATTGAAGAGTAGGCGATTATTCAACCCTTTATAAGTTGCAATAAGTATTTAGGGCAACACAGAACTGAAATCCGAGGTAAAAGTTAGTGCTCTTTCAGAAAGATAAATACGCACTGGGAGCAATACAATGTACATTTACATTTATATAGCACCTTTCATGTCGGGAGGACATTCCAAGGTGCTTGACAGTCCTGGGAGTGTAAGTGGCACTCACACGTGCAGAGGTGGATTCTGAGCATTGTGTATGACAGAGTAGAAATAATTTGATATGTTCTATTGCATTATCTATAATCAAATCCTTAAGTGAAGCAACCATTGGACAAAGATTAAACTTTGCTCAACTCCATCGGTTTAAAATAAAATGTTTAGCCGTTTTGACTTATGTACATAATAAACCTCATAAGGCATGGAATCTTTATATCGTGTTTTGAAGATCGTATTTCAAATGTATTTTGTGCAATTCGTGATCAAGTGGCTGCACAAGCTGCTCAATAACATGGATTGAAAATGACGGTATGGAGGCTACTTTACGAAGGGTATAGGTGTACTTAAAGACAAGTAGCTACTTCGGAGCTCACGGGTTAACTGTCCATTAGATTTGTGCAACCACAGTATTAGCGGTTACATTGGAGTGTACCGTTACCTGCCTCCACCATTGCTCTGGCTCCTTCTCCTCCTGCTGTCCGGATCCTACCACTCACCCCATCTTTGTAGCTTTTAATATCCAGTTGGGCTATTTTGGGCTTCCCACAACAGGTTTCAACATATTGCTGCTTCTAAATGCCTCATGAGTGCGTCAGGCTTCGGGACCACATCACTCCCACCCTCGCTCGCCTCCACTGGCTCCCCATCCCCCAGAGGATTGATTTCAAGATCCTCATCCTCACCTACAAGGCCATTCACGGCCTTGCTCCCTCCTACCGCTCCAACCTACTATCCCCCTACCTACCTGCCCGTACCCTCCGTTCCTCTGGCTCCGGTCTGCTCCACGTCCCCCGCCCCAATCGCCCTACCATTGGTGGTCGGGCCTTCAGCCTCTCAGCCCCGAGGCTCTGGAACTCTATCCCCCAGTGCCTTCGCCGCTTCCTCTCTTTCCTCCTTCAAGGCCGGTCTCAAAACCTTTCTCTTTGACTGTGCCTTCAGCTCCCCTCTCGACTCTCTACCCCTCCTCGCTCCCTCCCTTCCCTCCCCTCACCCTGACCATTCCCCCCTCCTCGCTCCCTCCCCTCCCCTGACCATTTCCCCCCTGCTCGGGTCATGACCCAACTGTGCAGCGCCTTGGGACGTCCTCCTGACGTGAAAGGCGCTTTATAAATGGAATCTTGTTGTTGTTGTTGTTGTTGTTGTTGTTGTCGTCAGAGGTTTCCGAGTTGAAACCTGCACGTGTATCTTTTATTTTCCTCTTTAACCATCAGAATGCCATTTATTCTGTGTGATTCCTTACCATTCACACCACCACCACCACAATGTGAGTCAAGTCTGTGTTAAACCCCTTTTTTTATTAAAAGTACAAATATTGTTTGCTTTTCTTTCCCCTCATGTTAAGCCTTTGCGTTGAACTCTTCTGCCACTTCTGTCAAACTTGTGAATTGACAAATAGGCTGGAATTCTACCTAGGTCTCGATTTAATCTGTTAACGTATCATCTTAAGAACAGGTCGAATTTGGCAAATTGTTGAATTTAGTCTTTTTAAAGCCGTTTTTCTGTGGTTCTCCAAATTACGATTGCGTTTAAGAATTTGACAAATTCCGCACACTATGAAATGCTGCATTGATTTGTTAAGCCGAGACCCAGGAAGAATTTCTACCCCACTGTGCATTAGCTGCTTGCGTTCCAGTAGTGTGTTCACACTGCTCCATCTAGAGGTCCGAGTAGCTACTGCCAACCTCACCCCATGAGCGTAGGCCTCCCATTTGAAGTTGGCAGGAAATCTCATAGTCTGAGTCAGGAGTCTTCGAATCAGCTGCTGTTCCACTGATCTACCCTCCTGAACAGTCATGATGGCTTCTACGTATACTGGGATATAAACACAAATGTATAAATCCCCGCAAGTTATCCGACTCCAGGATCGTAAGCCAATTTTATTTTTCAGACAGGCGTTTGAAATTTTAAACAAATGCGCAAATGGTATTTTCTGGAATCATACAAGATCCAGCAAGATCCCAAGTTTAATCTTTGGCCTGTGTTAAGTTATTTGTTTCAGCAATGGCAAGCAAGACTGTTAGCCACTGTATCTCCAGGGTAGAGGGAAGAAAATCAATCAGCTAGACTTCCTGCTCCTGGTGGCTATTCAGTGACCACTTCTGGAAAGTTTGTGTGGACGATACATAAGGATAGGATTGGGTTTGACTGTGATGCTCTAATGTCTAATACTTACTATCTAGGCTCACTACGGTAAGGAGGGGCAGGGGCTGGTGGGGAGTGGGGAAATTTACAGGGAAAAAGATTATTAGTTTATGCAACTTTATTATTTTGCGCAAATGCATTCATATTTTCTCAGTGCAATCATGTTATTGTTTTCAAATCTAACCCACTTTTGGAAAATCTATCCGACACCGTTAAGGTTTCTCATTGAAGGAAAGGCTTTTGCAGTTTTATTCAGTTCCATTCAATCACAGTTTTTTTACACTCAGTTGTCTTCTAACTGAACCTGTTGAGGCTCACCTAAATGTAGCACACTGCACAGTCACTATACTTTACCGTAAATCCTGTGAAGCACTTTGAGTCGTCCTCCCGATACAAAAGTCGCTACATCAAATCCAAATATTATTGTTGCTATTATTTATTGAAATGCAGCATCAGTTTGCAGCCATGAAGCTGTACTCGTAGCAATTGAACAAATTCTAAATGTAAATTGCAAATACAGTAAATCTCACACAATCTGTGATACAGCATGGATTTGGTCAGGATTGCCCAAAGTGAATTCAACTGAGTCTGTTCCTAATCCTGGGCTCCACCTATGATCATGTCTATACTGTGAATCATTCTATGTGTATGCTGTTTCCCTGTTCAAATGCGCAATGGACATTATATTATTTTTCTGTGAAGGTTCTTCTCCAACCAGCAAAATGCGCTGAAATCCATTCCTTTCAACATAAGAGAAGAAAAAGCTTCCTGGATTGTATTTATCAATAATTAACAGTGCATCAGCAAGGTCCAAAGGGAGCTTATATTGCACATCCGAGTAGACTGCTAATAATATACAGTAGATGGATTGGTGCATTCAAATCCCAGGGCACAAAGCCATACAAGTCCAGCATTGCATTTTAAATTAGCCTGTGAATAAATGTCTGGCTGCTGTGGAGGTGGGCTGGTTTACAGTTATCTCATTGTTTCTGATGGTACGCACTGAGGCAAGTGTAGGATTGTAGGAGCAAAGACCAACATACCCCTGGATGTTTAACGAGGGAATTGCTCAGTACAGGCAGCTGCAGCAAAGGACCTTTATTCGCTCACTGGGAGATTTCCAGACTAGCTGCTTGTGCAGAGCATTTGCAGTGTCTTTAAGGAGCGAGACTGTGGATAACAGCAGCAGCAGCAGCTCATATCAGCTCTCAGGGTTGTCAGAGTCTCTTCTGCTATAGTATGGAGCCAAACAGTCCAAAGAAGATTCAGTTTGCAATGCCATTATTTCAAAGTCAGCTTGACCCAGAGGCAGCTGAACAGGTAAGAGGAAATCAAACCGAAAACCTTTTATGGGATCTTTCCGAATAAGCCAGTGATTTTCGAAACTGTCTTTAATCGTATTTTTTTATTGTAATACCTTTGTTTTCATATAAAAAAAAGCCTCTTCCTTTTCTTTTGTTTGCATGGAATTGTTTCCGAAAACAAATCAAAGGGAGTTCCAGTGTCTTAAGATAACCTTAAACTTTTGAGTGTTTGTGCTTTAATATCTCAGTTCTGATTTTATTGCTTTTCCGCAGATCAGAAGGAGAAGACCCACTCCAGCATCGTTGGTTATTTTAAACGAGTCGTCCCCAGGTAACAGATAGATAGAAATCATCCGAGCAAATGTATCTGTTCAATGATAAGTTATATGATGAGTTTATTTGTGGGAATGCGATTGAATTAATCACCGACGGCTGATTTTCTAAAATGAAGCGCAAAGAATTGTTGCTCCCATTAAACCTCAGGTAGAAATGGGTTGAAATACATTTCAAAATTCATACTTATTCGAAACCTACTGCTTCATTTGTTTTGCGAAATATAGAGGTAACATTTGAGCTGTTGTTTATCACATTCCTTGTGCTGATTAAGGCAAAAGGGGGTGTTAACAAACACCAAATATGTTACCCGTAATATAAGAAACTCTAACGAAGCATCAAATCTGCTAGCTTTGAAAATACTTTTATTTTCTATTTGGTGAGAGATCTGATACAATGTTTTTTTAAAAAAAGAAGCGTAATAGCAAACGTCGAACATATCACTGCATGGGATCCTGATGCAAATCATTATAAGCAATCTCGGTCAGCGTGAACAGGGTTTGAAAACTCAAAAGGAGACAGATAAAAAATGATTTCACCAGAGGGCAGAAAACAGCATGCTCTCGACTTAGCTGCAATTGCTTTCCACATGTGGGCAGCTCTGAGTTCTGCCCTTGTAAACTGCAAACAGGCACAAGATAAAGATATCAATGCTTATTAATGATTTGACCTTGAGGGATTTTGTTTGTGGAGTGGAGTTTAATTTTATTGCAGGAAAGTGTACTGAGAGTCTGTTTCATATTAATAATATTAATAATATTGTTACCCATTAGCTTATGCTTCAGTGTATTGTACGTGGAGGTGTAATTTCTTGGTTCACTGAGAAAAGTGAACTCAGCACATTTTGTATTGAATACAATGAATTTGAGAGGGCTGCTCAAATGTAAACTGGAGGATTTCACATCTGTATAGTGGTGTGACCACTCTCTAAGGAAATGAGTCATCAGCTAAAGTACTACGGGACTAGCATATGAGGCAGTGAAACACTATGCATTAGCCACAAGAAATGCACATGAGAAGCTTACGGTTTGCTATCTTGATCTCATCAAGACGTGTGGAGTCCTGTAGCTCAGTGGTTAGAGCACTCGCCTCGCAAGGGAGAAACCTGGGTTCGACTCCCGCAGGGCGAAACCTTGGGCAAGTTTCCTAACTCCACACACCTGATAATAATACCTCAAGGAAAAAAAATCAACAATAAATTGGTCGCTTCAATCCACGACTGTTTGTGGGACACTGCTGTGCGCAATTGGCTGCCGCATTTCGCCCACAAATATACAGTCAATTCACTTGATAGCATATTCTGTGAAGTGCTTTGAAGGCTCTCGAAGATGTGATAAGGCGCTGTATCAAATGCAAGGATTATTATTATTAAAGACCTTTTAGGATCATGTGAAGTATTTATTGATAAGATTAGGTTGGTATATTATTAGTGAAATATATGACTTTATTGCAGTGTCCAGATTTCAATCAACTTGCAAGCAATATTTTGCTGAGGCATATGAAATCTGCTCCTCCTTGATCTGAGTATTCAATGTCAACCGCAGCACAGTTGTATTCTGTACACTTGGATCTGACACAGTGATGAGCAATTATATGAATATGTGGAGTACAGATTCATCCCAATGAGAACCAAATAAGAAAAATTAAGTAAGAAGTCTGTGAACCTTAAAAGTGAAGAGGTGTAAATGAATGTTCTGAATAATGAGCCAGCGAAGCAAATAATATATTTCTTATGGTTTTCAACTTGTTTCACGAATGTTGTCTGTGGTTGAGAAGTGTTCCGCATCTCCTTTACTATCTGCTCCTGTACTGTAAGTGTATGTTATTCTCCGAGGTTTGAGAATGAAAACCTGGTTTTGTTTCACAGTTTAGAGGAAGTTTAAAGGGCCAGAGCGAATTATTGCCCTGAATTTTGATTAAAAACATTTGCAAAAATCTTGCATTGTATTGCAGCTGTCAGACTGATGTCACAGAGATGGCATTATTTTGTGTTTCTTGAACTCAGCTATGTTATAAAATACACAGTCACTCTACTTGACAGTAAATGCCGTGAAGCGCTTTGAGACACCTCATCGACATGATAAGGCGTTATATCAAATGTAAGGATTATTATTATTGTTCACCTATGGGTTGCTTTGGTTCCAGATAATCATGCTTTTTTTATATGAGACTTTTTTTTTACTGCCAAAGATTTTATGCTTCTGATCAAATAGACAAAAGTTTGATGCACGAACACACTGTCCCTGTGTTCAAACCCAGTGGTGTAAATTAACTCAAGCTGTGATGTCCCATGACTGAAATTTTATTAGAGAAACCTCATGAAAGGAATATTCTGGGTCAAAGTCCTAAAATGGGTCTATTTTCAAGCATTATAACTGACGAATACAGACTCATAGTTTTGAAAGCCATCAGTAGATGGCGAGGAGCCCAATGGAGCCACTGTTTTTCCACCGTTTCCAAGTCTTAGCCAGGAAGCCTGACGTGCGTTTCATCCCAACTGGTGACTGAGAGAGACGCAAGTAACAAAGTTCTCGTTTTGAAAGCAAACACGTTTTTAGTTAATTTGATTTCCCAAAGCAGGGGTTGAGAATGGAACCCACATGTTCTGTTTACAAGTGGACTCTGGCCTGCTTTGTCCCGGGTCTATGAAACGAGCAGAGCGGAGATCAGTACTACAGCAACAACCACAACAACTCGCATTCATAAAGCGCTTGTCACGTGGGGTAGCGTCTCAGAGTGCTTTACTATGATGCATTTAAGAGAAAGCTAGCTATACGCATGAGGGAAAAGGGAATAGAAAGATATGGGAGGCAGTAAGAAATGGATGGAGACTCATGTGGTGTACAAACACAGGCATGGACAGCTGGGCTGAATGGACAATTGTTTCCGTGCTGTACAATCTATGTATAAATGTATTCAAAAGCAAACAGCTGGAACAGATGAATACAGAATGTGACTGAGCCCAGGTCACTGGACATATTGTGGAGTCCTGTAGAGCACTCGCCTTGCAAGTGAGATACCTGAGTTCAATTCCAGGCAGAGCGAAACCTTGGGCAAGTTTCCTTACTCCACACGCCTGATAATAATCCCTCCAAAAAACAAAACAATAATAAATTGGTCATTTTCAATCCACAACTGTTTGTGTGACACTGCTGTGTGCAATTGGCTGCCACGTTTCGCCCACAAATATACAGTCAATTCACTTTACAGTATATTCTGTGAAGCGCTTTGAGATGTCTAGAAGATGTGAAAAGCACTATACCAAATGCAAGGATTATTATTATATTTGAGAAATCACTTGATCCTGAATTGTGAAAATGGGTGTTCTGGAAGATTGAGATCAATTGGGGGCAATGGGCATTCTTCATCCAAACCTCTGTTGTGAGTTTTGGTAAGAAATCTTCTTTCACTATGACATCTCTGCCCCTGTTCCCCACTTCTCATGGGTACCAGCATCTCTCTTCAGGCAACGTGAGGTCTTTCTAGTCCATCAAGTGAAGCAGTTTGAGATTTGCAAATGTTATACTGGGTCACTGAAAGGGTGCTCTTCTGAGCTTGTGGTTTAAGACAGTTATCAGCACAATGAGTTCTTTATTGCAAATGACCTGGGAGTGTTTGACATTAAGAGCTTGGTATGCATCACAAGAATTATCTTCCCTTCAGCAATGCTGTCCTTCACTTTGTGCACAGATATGTACAAATAGTATTAAAAAAAGAACACAATGATGGAAATGGAAGTGTCGGTGAGTCACAATTTGCATTTCACCCGGGAAATAAATCTTCAAAACAAAGAAATAAAACCTAAATAATTCATTGCTTTTTCAGTACTTCCTGAATAATTGATTGCTATTTGCATTTCTTTATGATGTCAGAGTCATGTGCATTCAAATTGTTGAGCATAACAAAATGATGATAATAATAATAATTCTTGCAATTTGAAAAATATATATAACCTGGTTGACAGTTTGCCCTGTTGTTTTAGGTTCTATTCAGGGTCTGTGGGAACTATAGACTATGTGATGCGATCATAGTTGTATGTCAGCCTGGCTCAGTGGTAGCGCTCTCGCCTCTGAGACAGAAGCTTGAGGGTTCAAGCCCCAAGTTGGGACTTGGAATTACATAGTGTAAGCTGACACACCAATGCAGTGCTGGGGGGGTGTTGCATTTTCAGAGGTGCTGTCCTTTGGAAAGAGACATTAAAATGAGGTCCCTTCTGCCTGCTCAGGTGGATGTCAAAGATCCTATGGATCTTAAATATCCCATACTATTCGAAAAGAGAAGGAGTGTCCTCACCAACAAGTACCTCAAATACAATTGGTCACTCACTTCATTGCTGTTTGTGGGACACTGCTGTGTACAAACCTGGCTGCTGCATTTCGCCCACAAAACCCAAAGTCAATTTCACTTTATAGTATATCCTGTGAAGCGCTTTGAGACATGTCAATAACATGAGGAGGCACTATATAAAATGCAAAGGTATTATTATTATTGTTATAGTTGTTTCCGTTCCAGTCATGGTATTGCTTCCTCTGTTGATGCAGGAGAGAGCGATTGGAAGGCTGTGTTCCATTTTGTCTGTTAACTCAAATCATACAAAAGCCATTATGTTTGAAAATATATTCACTGACATGAGTCATTTAATTTGGTTCCCTCCTTCACTGCAGTGAATGTCTCTGTACCCAACCTCTTGACCTTTCCTGTAATTTTAAACAACTTGGATCGTGCTCCCAACTTGAATTCAATGTTCAAAGTACACTTCCCTTTGTAACCCACTGAGCTTTTCTCGAGCCATAAATTGTCAGGCTATGGACATTAAATCACATTATCCTCGTCCATTAATTCCACTGCATTCTCAAAGAATTTTAAAACAGGATTTCTTTAGCACTATCTGTAATAAGCAAATTTGCCTGGGTTTATTGCATTTACTTAACATAACATAACATGTAGGAGCAGTAGTAGGCCATTCGGCCCTTCGAGCCTGCCCCGCCATTCAATCAT